TCAGCTTTCAGGTTTTCAACCCTGCATTAGAGATTGACGCGGGGCCATTATTGGGTTTTCTTCAGCATCTTCTACCTTTGAGATGACATTGCTATTGGAGCAGTTGCCTGACTTTGTGTGAGCCCTCCGCGCCCCTTCTTCACCTCTGGTGTCGACGGCGCCTCTCTATCCTACGCTGCCTACTGCGAGCGATGCTGGAAATACGTACCGATTACAGGAGATTTCAGAGTTCGAAACAATTCAGCTCTTTCTCGAGTTTAGTACACACTGCGATGTCCTCTTCTTCTAACGAAGCCCTTTCCAGTTTTTCCTTCTCTTCAGTCGACATTTTCGTAAGAAACGAATATGGGCGACTTAATTTCGTTAAAGCTGCCCACGTGCATGACAATTATGATGAAATTGTACGTCCATTTAATTAGCATACATGTGAGTGGTAATGTCAACTTTCAAGCCAAAACCTTGTTTGCTAGTAATAAGATGTATAATATATGCACGTGGCTGTTTAATTTTAAGAAAAATTGTAGCAAACATAGCATGCTCATGTTTATAAAATGGAGACGTTTTGTCAAATCATGTAAGATGCTTATTACGTTGTAAGCGAGTGACCATTTCATTAATGTTTTATTGATATTAACAACATTTCATGAAAATTTGACATTGTTGAAGACAGAAATATATCTTTAACTTTTTGTTACATTTTGTCACATATAAAACTTGCTAACATGTTATCACATTTTCTTTTTCAGTTTCAACTTGTATAGATATAGGTTTCACGAACACCTCGATCTACTCTCGCTTACGTAAATATGGCCACTTTATCTCATTATGGATGTAGTATGCAGTTCCGCATATCCATCGTTTTTTTTGTTGTGGGTTTTACTACGATCATCTATCTTTGCAAAAATGAGTTTGTGATAAAATATGCTCCTGCATCTGAAACTACGTTTACTCATCAACCTGAAATAACGCCTACCAATAAATCTGAAACAACGTCTACTCGTCAACCTGAAACAACGTCTACTCATCAAATTGGAATAACTTCTACAAATGAATCTAAAACAGTGTCTACTTATAAGTCCGAAACAACGTCTACCATTGCAATAAATATAACATCGTCTCCATTACGAACAGGTAAAATAGTTCTTTTGTTTTGGAGTAAATTTTTTGGTGCTTCACCCGCATCCTTTGAAGTAAACTTGCCAAAAGGTGACAAAGAAGGCAACTGTCCTGTGGCCTGTGAGGTTACATCAGACCATAAGCGAGCTAAAGAAGCAAATGGATTTATTGTACATTCAAGAGATCCATATCCTCTACCTCCATCAAAAGATGTTCCCTGGATCCTAACGGGTATGGAAAATCCTGTTTATACTCCTATACTTTCTGATGGCAACTTTATGTCACAGTTTCAATTATCGAGAAGCTATCGACTTGATTCTGATTTTCCTACACCACTCTTCACAAAGCCAAATTTAGATCCACCGGTTCCGTTTGAGAAAAAACGGAGGAATTATTGCTACTCTTTCCAACTGCGAAGCTGTCAGGACAGCGTATATAAGACATCTCATGGAACATGTTCATGTCGATTCCTATGGTGGATGTTTACATAATAAAGATGGTATAGTAGGACGCTGGGCACCAAACTTTAGAGAAGCAAAACAAGATGTGGAAAAATTATACAAGTTTGTTATTGTGTTTTCAACCAAGATTGTGATTACTATGTTGATGAAAAATTCTTAATGCACTTAGCAGGTGCAGTGCCTGTGATGAGCACGGATAAAATTAATGATTTTTTGCCTGGAAATCTGAAAAATGCCATTATCAATGTCAGAGATTTTAAGTCTCCCAAAAATTGTGGAGCGACTTAAGTTTCTAATGAACAACAAAACTGAGTATAATAAGTTCTTGGAATGGAAAGTAAAAGGCTTAGGTCATATTAACGACACTGTGATTGGAAGATTTTGGGAAAGTAAATTTAGACAATGGTGTTATGTGTGCCAGGGAGTATCGGATGGAAAAGGGCACAAAGAAGGTCTTAAACCTGACTTTTGTAAAACAAGAGAATATGAAGACTGGGAATTACACCGTTGTGACCTTGGTACACATGACGGACTGGTCGCAAAGATGAATGAAATTATAGAAACAATTTACTGCATGTAAATGATATGTACCGAGTTAGTAAGGAATTAAAACGTTTGATATCTGCATTGTTTTCGATTTTGAGTTTAAGAAAATTGGACAAACAATGTTCTAAACTCGTTTATTTCGTTTAGATGCAATAAGTCGGCAACGCATTTTGTACACTCAGGCCCAGTATTACGAAGGTACCTACAATGCTTTGTAGGAACAATTCAAAAGTATTTATCTTAGACTTTGAAACCCGTGATGGTTTATTGTTTGTGATATCGTAACTTTTAGAAATCTGGAGGCACCATTTGAATTTGGTCGTAACGCTTACCAACTTGTATTTGCTATCTTCTAGTAACAACTTCCTTCTGTAGTGGTTCAGAGTTCGTTGAAAAATAAATTTTAGCTCGTCAATTTTTATTCATAGTACTTTCAGAAAAACACTAGTAGTCATGAATTTGTAAAGAATATAATTTTAACAATGCACTTAATTATCTCTAAGATGCTTAGAAATGCAAATTTACGCCAAAATTTGTTGTAGTAATTTATCTTGACATTACCATAGATGGGCCACCTACTTTCTTTACCCATAATAGTTGCTGGCTGGTGCATTTTGGCCATAAAATTTATTTTGATATTGAATTATAGCTTTGTTATCACATAAAAAAAGATAATAAACTAATTGCTTCCTCTTTTCTCAATCGATGCAAATATTTTAGCTATTTTTCGTTATCTCCAGAACACAGCGTGTGCTACTTTGTATTCAGTTTACTTAGGACTATAACGGACTATTTTCCATTTCATTTCATCGATTTGCACAACAAAATTTTGTAAATACAACTAACGTTGTGTTTGGTGCGCATAACCTTTCTGTTTTTTATTTTATTATGTTGAAATTTAACAGCTGGAGACATTACGCAAGCATAAGCTTCGCAGAATTTGGCAAACATCAAATATATATCGTTTGAGAGAATACTACACTGTGATGAGACTTGATGCACTGTGCTTGTATTTAAACATTTAAACCAGTGTTGATATGTATGTAGCAAATTGTCATTATGTAACCGTGCTTATCTCACCTATCGTTTATATTATATTTCCTAAATTACGTTTGTACTCTATAGACCATATATTCCTCTCAAAGATATTATTCAACAAGGCATGACATGTGAGTTCGTAATTATTGCAAGTGAATACTAGTAACTATTCTTCGATACAATAAATTTCACACGGGTAACAACACGGACTAATTAACCTAATGATACGAGATACGAATATACTGGATTCGTAAATTTAATGTGGAGAAATGAAGACATGTGGAGAAGGATTTACGGCAATTTACACGATGTACTTTGGGAAACTATGGAACAATTTAATATTTTGATAATATTACTTTTTGTGTTATATCGCTCAGTACATCAGATTGTATTTTATTTCATAATAAAAAAAAATCGCCAGAAAAGTTCCTGCTATTTGCCTACGAGTCCAAGATTTGGGGTGTATCACCCCCTATACCCTTCTCCCAGACGTATTGGCCCTGATTGTGCTGTCTGCATTGGATTTTAAAATCCTGCAACAGGACCTTATTGCACTAACTCCATGTTCACACGTATACATATTTTTAAAAATACGGAGATTTTTCCTCCGTTTCTGAACAGATTTGCGACCACACATAGCGTATTTAAATCGTTTCCACCTGTCCACACGTATGCACAAAACCGGAGAAAATTCAATACTTGTAATCTCTTAGCATGTGTATTTACTTGTAATAATGGATTCTTCAAGCTTTGCATCATCGAATTTGTTAATTACTCAACGATTTATTATCAAAAACATATAGAATACAAACGAAATACTAAGCTTTAATAGCTTACGACTACATGTTCTCAAATTCAGTCACATGACCATATCAATGACGCATGCGTAATTAAATTAATAACTAATTAATAAAATAGAGACTTTGTCGTGGTGACAAATCTGAAAATCGTTCTAAAGATCGCAAATACCATTGTGAATGGTAAAAGTAATAATTTAATAGTGAAATTAAACGACACAATGCATTTTGGGAGACCACTCCTTAGATGTCAACGTCTGCTAAATGAAAATTTAAAATCTACCGATATTTGTAAAGCCAAGAAAGAATGTACGTCATCTCCAAATGGGGAGATGACGCTCAAAATAAAGATAAATTGAAAACATAATCCTTTTGCGGCAAGGACGGGATTGGTTAACTTAATTAAAACAGCCTCCATGACGCGTAACTGAAAGAATGAACGGCATTTCTTAATGATTCTAAAATTGTTGTCTGAATAAGAATCATTACAATGGGAGTTATTCAAGAGACGTTTACCTATCGCAGAGTCACATTAAACTAAATTATTTTCTTACAATCACATATCTAAGAGTACAGAATACGTCACTTGACTCTTTGTGCTTTTGGAATAGATAGGATTAGAAGTTAGATGTCTAGTTGGAACAAGTTGTTGAATAGTGTTGAACATGGTATGAAGAGTATAAAGGCAAAGATTTTTATTTTCAATTCACCGAAAAAGCAGACTAAAGCTTACAATTGTTTGTAAGATGCGATACTTTTTAGTTTTATTGATCATGTACGAAAATAAATGACGATAGAAGGGAAAGGTATGCCTTGGGATTTATTAAGACTTATATCATATTATTATAAATATTTATATTGTGTATCATATTATTTCTAGTTGATTACGATGCTCTACAAACATGGCCATTTCAAAAGAAGATATCAATGATGTTAATGGATCAACGAAATGTTGATCACATGATTGATGCTTTTCATTCAGATCCTCAAAGTTCCTTATTTCAGCGACCAGAGTCTGATTTGAATCCATTTGGATTGCAGTTCTAATTTCGCTGATAGAGAGTTTAAGCATTCTTCCGTTCATTAAAGAGGATACAAGGTTTATTAAGTTAATAATTTAATGAACAAAAAATCTAAATACACTCGCTCCTGCTTCTCTATCTTAGACACTGAAAATATCTCAATTCTCTATTAATCTTAAATTAGCTTTATACTTAGGCAAACGCAACCCGACCTAAACATGTTGCAAACAGCTCTCCTAGCTTTTTCACGTAATTTTCAGTTGTCTATACAAAACGCTATTCGTTGTAAAGCACTCAATAGTGTTTATATAAGTTTTTTCTTGTTTCCTTCGGGTCAGCATATCCACAGTAAAGGAATATACAACAGTAGGGTCACTTCGCTGTGCAATTGGCTGCTGTATATTTAATTAGTTTACTGGCTGCCTTTGCCATATCGTCAATCCTATTGGTCACAAAATGCAATTTACTGGCTGCCAATATGGTAGTCACATGCGTAATAAGATATGCGTGGCACGAAAAAACTCAATGGAGTGGCCCTGCTATATATTGTCTATACCGTGGCATTGTTATGAAGTATGTTTACTTTGTAATACGGGCTCAAATGTACGTTTTGTCATATCATGTCTACAGTTTTGTACTTTTGTCATTTTGTTTCATTAGAATCGAATTTTTCTACATTTGAAGCGTTTTCTTTCTTAAATTATTTCATAACACAAACAATATTTCCAAAGAATCATCTTACGTGTGTTGTGTTTCCTTATTTTATATGACAACAATGCTATTGTCATTCTTCAGGTCATTTAGAGCGTTGATTTTGTCTTTTGAAAATAAAAAACTAGGACGGCTGTAGCTGCGAAGACCAGATAATGCGATGTCTTTCATTCGAGTTTTTACGGATTTATAGAGAAAACCAGAGTGTTCATAGATGCTTTCATTATGAGTGGCGGCGAAGAATTTTTCGAAGGGTGCGAGAAGATTACCGTGGTTTAACTTAGTAGGTGGAATGGCAAAATTTAAACACTTAGAAAAGATTTCTTTTTCTTTGTTGCTGATTAACCTGTTCGAGAATTGAGCACCACTTTGTCGGGGTTGATTTGAATGTTATTGTCGTTCTTAGCGCAAAGGTGAAAAGGCTTTTGATCTTGTATGTGTTGGTGTTGGTTTAATTTCTTCGAGTTCTCACGATCTGAAACATTCTTGAAATGTATTAAGTACAGTGTAGATACGGATGAAGCCAGATGAGAATGGGTCGTTGTCACTTGTGCAGATAGCACGCGTATACTAGAGTGTTTGTCGTTTATTTCTTCGAGGAGCAGTTTGCTTTGACATTGACGATAGGCGCTAGAATTACGCAGGCGGCGATTTGCAACCTTGAACCACAAGAAACGTGTTATTGCTGAACGCGTTTTACAGGTTGTAAGGAATTTTACATGTTGTAAGGAATTTTAAGTCCAATTTAGCTTTACCAAGTTTGAGGTCGAGGCGTTGATACTTTCTAAATACTTTAAGCGTTTTATTGTCATATCGATTTATCAATATTGTTGCCAATGAAGAGCCACGCAGGAAGCGGATTCTCAATATAAATATTAAAGCCCAACAAATAATTTTAAACATAGTCATAAACAATTTGGTTTTATGAAATTTATTAAAAGAGTGACGTTTCGTCTTTACTCAAGACATCTTCAGATAATTAGTCTGAAGATAAGGACAATGCCGTTGTCATCCTTAATAAAACCGACTACAATAACAAAATGTCAGAAATCCTCTCCGATTCCTCAAAATTTGAACTCATAAGCGAAGACCCTGTGAAAGTCACCCTACAACGTGAAACCCAGGTGAAATCATTACTCAAACAACTCAAGAAAACGAAATCAATTGATGAACAAACTTACAATAAACTCTAACCGACTGGCTCACGCATAGGTATACTATATGGACTTCCAAAAATTCACAAACCAACCATTCCCTTACGACCCATTCTATCTTCTATAAATCTCGTATAAACTAGCTAAATGTTTCATTCTGCTGATTACACCCATGTCCACAAAGTCTTCCATGATAAAGGACTCATTCTCCTTCGTATAAGAAATACTTAACACTAACATCAACTCTAACAAAGTTGTTATGGCTAGTTTTGACGTAACTGCTTTTCTCCAACATTCCTCTTCATGAAACAATCAATATCATCAGTGATCTTCTTTTATTAACCATAAACAATTTCATGGACTCACCCGCACCGAATTCAGTAATCTACTAACGCTATCTATTAATTGCATTTATGTTTAACGACCGCTTATACCACCAAATTGATGGTGATGCTATGGATAGTCCTTTGGCCCTTTTGCCAACATTTCATGTATTTAAAACTGTCCCCACAAATTAAACCTGTTCTCATACGATATGTCGATGACTGCTTCCTTCTTTTTAAATCACTTGATCACGTTCCTGTCTTTTTAGAATACATCAACCATCAACACCCCAACATCACGTTTACCTCTGAGACGGAAAATAATGGACGACTACAGTTTTTAGACATGTAAATTTATCGCTCAAATGACAAATTCACCACCTCTGTATATCATAAACCCACATTCACCGGTCTTTTCACAAACTTTTACAGCTTTATCCCACTTTCTTATAAACGCAACTTCATCTTTGGCCTGTTACACCGCTTGTTCAACCTCAGCTCTAGTTATGAGACTATTCATGTCCAAATTGAAACCACCAGAAAAGTATTCAAACTCAATTGCTATTTAACTAATATATTCGACCACATTGTCCGTCGTTTCTTTGACGCAAAATTCGAAAAAAAAACACCTGTCTTTTGTGTCCCAAAGAAAATAGTGTATTTTTGTCTCTCATTCACCGGCTGTCACTTGTTACAAATCCGCACACAAATCAATCGTCTCTACAACGCTGCTTTCCCTCATCTCAATGTCAGATTCGTCTTTCATACCCCCACACGAATCTCTTCATTTTTTCCAGTTAAGGATAAAATTCGCAAGTCTCTGAGGTCTGGTGTTGTTTATTTATGTGTCGATGCTGTTGCGCATCGTGTGTGGGTCAAACCACACGCCACTTACACACCAGAATCACGAAACACTTGGGGGTCTCTCCTTTGACTGGAAAACGCTTACTATCCCATTAATGTCAAGTATTCTTTTCCATAGTAACTCCTCAAACCACCCTGCTTTCCCAGACGGTTTTAAAATCCTCTCATCCGGCTCCGACACAATGAACCTCATGATCCACGAAAGCCTCATCATCTCCAAGCTAAAACCTTCACTTAACGCCCAAGGCAGATCCATCCCTCTGAAGCTTTTCTAGTCTCAACACCTCACCCTAACTATACATAACATCACACTTACACATTCACAGTAATCTGATACCTCTAACTATGTAAATAGCTCGATATTATATCTTTTCATTGAATTTTAAGTACTTTTCTTACACTGAAACAATCATTACTGACTTATAATCACTTAAATGAAAACAAGGCATCTTAGGACCCGTCCACACGTATCCGGATTCGTAAATATCCGCAAATATTTTGTTGCGGTTACACTTATCGTCCACACGTATCCAGCGAAAACGCCAGTGCCTTTTTTTAAAGAATTTTTACTTGAAAGCGCGATTCTCTTACAAAAAAATTTCCATTGTATTGTATAATTTATAGTAGTTAGCAACCGCAGTACTTGCGAGAGTAATGGCGGATCTGACGTAAGCGCATAAAAAATCTGGGACACATCGCACCCCTGAGTTGGCCATCTGTTCATTTCCTATTCTGTGCTTTAACGTAAGTCAGGTCCATTTCACTTTACCTAAGTAGGGTAGGTTAGGATTCATTAGACCTTAATGAATTTATAAGCTAAATATATTTAATTAATAAATAGACCTCTTAATCTCGTAGAACACACGTGATCATGCTATAACCCTTACCACAGTATAAGAATATACAGAAGAGTCATTCTTGTCGGAAGCTTTGATGATTTTGTATTCATTATTCAGTATTGACGTCATGTAATTTTAATGGTTGTAAACAAGTGAGAAATCCTAATCATCTGGCTAGAATAATGGCCGTCACGAGAACGCGTTGTACACCTGAGTAACCCTTCTGTATAATCATTACTCTGTGCCCAAATCTTTCAAACTTTAGTTGTCAATATATGAGACCACGTCTTGACCACGTTAAACGCGTTTAAATATAAAAATCGTTAGAATCTTACGATGTCGTTATGCAAAAAAGCGATGCATGATGTTGTGAAGTAAGTTAGGATTCATAAGACCTTAATCAATTTAGAAACTAGATTTTAATTTTGACCAAATCTTCATTGAATCTTGCAGTTATATCTTGATACGTTAAGGTCCTGAGAATGGTTTATAGGCGTTCTCATTGACGTCACCAACATCTTCAAGCCCAAAATCAATATTAGCGTAGAATCATGACTATGCAGAATTGCCAACGTGTTCTTACAACGGCCATTATTACAGCCAGTTGATTAGGGTTTGTTACTGGTTTCCAACCATTACATGACATCAATACTTAATAATGAATTCGAGAATAACAGCACAGTGGATGGCAGAAGTTTGCTCGACAGTTGTGAAAGAGCCAAAATTACAACCTCTTTCTGGGGAAGTGATATTACCTCGTACAGCCAATAGACAAGAAGAAGCGAGACTAGATATTCGTGCTAAAGGTTTTTGGTCTAGACAGCAAGATGCATTTTTTGATGTAAGGGTATTTCACCCAAATGCGTCGAGCTACCAAAACACCAATCTACCTGCACTCTATCGTCAGCATGAGATGGCTAAGAAAAGGGAATATGGTGATCGAGTAAGAGAGATTGAATATGCTGCTTTTTCATCACTGGTCTTTTCAACATCAGGTGGTATGGGGAAAGAGACTGCAATTGCTTATAAACGGCTAGCTGATCTGCTGGCAAAAGAGAAAGCTGCAATATGGCATCACGCTAGCGTGGATGCGTTGTAAACTGTCTTTCGCACTGATTAGGTCAGCAATTACTGCGATACGAGGAAGTCGATCTGCCTCAACTCGCGAACATACTTTAAATATTGACCTAGGTTATTGGGAAAGTTGTCTTTACATTTGACTGTCCCTTTATCATGGATATTTTTAAACACTGATTTTAGTCATATTTGATTCAGATTTTTTTAACATTTATATTTGTAATAGATAATAATAATCATAATAAAATACGTTCCTTTTCATTAAAATTACATGACATCAATACTTAATAATGAATTCGAGAATATTTTGACTTTAGACATGACTTTGGATCATTTTGAAGGTTGGGAAAAAGTCAAAAACCCTAATAAACTGGCTGTAATAATGACCGTTGTAAGGACACGTTGGCTACCTGAGTGACCCTTCTGTATAGTCATGATTCTGTGCTAATATACTGTGAGAATGGTTTAAGGCGTTCTCATTAACGTCACCAACATCTTCAAGCCCAAAATTATAATATTAGCGTTATTTAATAGGCTGAATATGTTTAATTAATAAATAATTGACGTAATATCACCGAAAAATAGTCAATTTTTACTAGCATTTCATATATATTAATGTAGGGAGAGCATAGTTCTTTTGTTTGACAACAATAATTTTTGTTTTTAAAAATTAGATTTAATAGATATCCCGTAATTTGTTCAAGCAAAAACTGTGAGTTTTAACCCTCTAGAGGCAGTTGATGCTCACAGGCAACAATCACCAAACAAGATGTTTACGAACTTTTGAAAAGGCACGGCTCCCAGAGGGTTAAACAATCATGTTGAATAAATACATATAATGACATGCTTAACACTATTTATAAATATACTATTCACTTCAAGCCACATATAAACCACGAGGCGTCATGGAAGGCAGATGTTGTTCATATAAGATGGAACAAAACTTTACACATAAACGACAAGTATAATGATTTGTAATTGTGTCATGCAAAATAAAGTTGTTGCCTTCAACTCTCCTTGATGACAAGTTACCGAAACACGTCTCATTTAATTGCAGATGTATTTAAACGTGTTGATAAAAAATCAAGACCGCCAATATCTGAATGCTACTGAACAAGGACATACCGCACATATTTAAACATTTGAAAGCCACGATGTACAGATATATACCCTCAGTACCACGTCGTAAATGTTGATAGCAGCAGCAAAAAGAAATTTGAAAGAGGAAAACCCTTATGAAATGTGTGACACACGTAGCTACTTGTTTCGATATCATTTATGACAATACATCCTACGGCCTGAAACTTCCAATGTAAGTGACTATCTTGTGAAAATCTCAATTCATTGATGCTACTGATTTTTTGTTTGTTTCTTCAATGTCACATTAGTTATAACTGAATATATGCAATGAATACAAATACACTAAATTTGCTATCTGTCTCCAATGCTATATGTGGTGGAATGCATAGAACTGCAGTTTTCATAGATTAAGGTTTAGACTTGCAATGAGCGAGAGCCGTAACTGTTTTTTTGCTCGTTTTTCTACGACTGTCTACTATATTTTTAGTAGTAGAAACTCGGGGAAAACAGAACGCCCTTAAATTCTCTCCTAACATTAACTTAGCAACATATAATTACAAGATTCAATGAATATTTGGACAAAATTAAAGTCTAGTTTATAAATTCATTATCGTCTCATGTATCTTACCCTACAACACCATGCATATTTGCTTTGCATAACGACATTAAAACGCAAAAAAAAGTAGATTCTAATGAATTTTTTGTTCAAATGCATAGAAGGATTACTCATTGTCTTTGTGAAAGGTGAAAAGCTCCTAAGGGCCAATTACAAGAAAAATTTTAGTCATGACTTGATTAAGCAAATGTTAACAACTCAAACTTAGTCACTTTAACGTTGAGGAAAGAAAGGTGAATTCTGTCTTTTTCCTGACAGATTACTGAAGTATGAGTTGCATGGAATAATCAACTAGTCTTAATGGCAGGCCTCGTAATATGAAAGCTTTCAATGTAAAATGCTTTAATAACGATGTTAAGCCTTTGATCGTTTGAAACTTGTTACATCTTTCAAACTTAATCGACTAAAGCTATTCGTGCAATGTTTGGTGAATGTTCTACCATTTGGATAGACCAACAGAAAACATATAACAATTTGCTCATTCTCAATATATCTGATTGTGAATTTAAAACGCCAATTAACGTCATATGTAGATTTCTTTATCATGAAATGTCGTACATGTGTTTCATATTTTCTAGCTTATATTGTAGATCCCACATGGATGGAGTTGTGAAAATCCTTTACCACCTGTGTCATTCACTTCAATTACTCTTACTAGTTTGTCATTACTCATGTGTCATGGTGATTCATGGCCAAAAATGTTCATATGCAGTTTGGATTCTTTGTGGATGTCAGTTGTTTGTTTATATGATGATGATGGGCCCCATTGTTATATGAACTCACCTGGAAGTGGTCAGCTGACATTCATAGAAGATCAAATCTGCACTAAGCATTCTTTGAGTGATGATATAACTGGGGTTTTGAAGTGAGCCCTTTTCCTTCGCTTGAAATTACCATTAGAGTGCATTGTAAACAGTAATCTATCGAAATGGCGATTCATAATACGAGTAGCCCTTTTATTGGTTACGTCGATTAATTTGTGTATGGAATGGTATAAACATATTGAATGGACATTGCATAACGGCATTTGTACGTGTGAACATTAACATTGAGGTGATTGGACTATAATCTACGAAGATGGAAAACAAGCGAGTGGAAAAACATGATCTATGTCTTGTGGTTTGTAAGTTGAGTAGATAAGTATTAAAATTAACTTATAGCTATGAGTAACTGCATGAGAGATTCAAAAAGGATCCCGATGGTCTATTTTTATAATTTGAAACATAATCATGACGAACACCCATATTAGCTAAAAAAATGTCAATAAAAGATGTCAACTGCTGTGAGAAAATATCTGGCTTTCACTCGCTACTTTTACTAATTTTATTTAACGTTTATAAACCAAATTGCAATGCTGCAAGTAGGATTCATTGAATTTTTAAGATAAAAATATTACGATATACACGTTACGATATACACGTTACGAGATACACGTTACGATATACAAGTTACGATATACACGTTACGATATACACGTTACGATATACACGTTACGATATACACGTTACGATATACACGTTACGATATACATGTTACGATATACATGTTACGATATACACGTTACGATATAAACGTTACGATATACATGTTACGATATACACGTTACGATATACACGTTACGATATACATGTTACGATATACACGTTACGATATACACGTTACGATATACGTTACGATATACACGTTACGATATACATGTTACGATATACATGTTACGATATACACGTTACGATATACACGTTACGATATACATGTTACGATATACACGTTACGATATACATGTTACGATATACACGTTACGATATACACGTTACGATATACACGTTACGATATACACGTTACGATATACACGTTACGATATACATGTTACGATATACATGTTACGATATACACGTTACGATATACATGTTACGATATACACGTTACGATATACGTTACGATATACACGTTACGATATACATGTTACGATATACACGTTACGATATACATGTTACGATATACATACGTTACGATATACATGTTACGATATACACGTTACGATATACACGTTACGATATACACGTTACGATATACATGTTACGATATACACGTTACGATATACACGTTACGATATACACGTTACGATATACACGTTACGATATACACGTTACGATATACATGTTACGATATACACGTTACGATATACACGTTACGATATACACGTTACGATATACACGTTACGATATACACGTTACGATATACACGTTACGATATACCGTTACGATATACATGTTACGATATACACGTTACGATATACACGTTACGATATACATGTTACGATATACGTTACGATATACACGTTACGATATACATGTTACGATATACATAGCATGATATACACGTTACGATATACACGTTACGATATACACGTTACGATATACATGTTACGATATACACGTTACGATATACATGTTACGATATACACGTTACGATATACATGTTACGATATACACGTTACGATATACATGTTACGATATACATGTTACGATATACACGTTACGATATACATGTTACGATATACATGTTACGATATACATGTTACGATATACGTTACGATATACACGTTACGATATACACGTTACGATATACATGTTACGATATACATGTTACGATATACACGTTACGATATACATGTTACGATATACATGTTACGATATACACGTTACGATATACACGTTACGATATACATGTTACGATATACACGTTACGATATACATGTTACGATATACATGTTACGATATACATGATATACATGTTACGATATACACGTTACGATATACACGTTACGATATACATGTTACGATATACATGTTACGATATACACGTTACGATACCCGTTACGATATACACGTTACGATATACATGTTACGATATACACGTTACGATATACACGTTACGATATACATGTTACGATATATGTTACGATATACACGTTACGATATACATGTTACGATATACACGTTACGATATACACGTTACGATATACATGTTACGATATACACGTTACGATATACACGTTACGATATACATGTTACGATATACACGTTACGATATACACGTTACGATATACATGTTACGATATACACGTTACGATATACATGTTACGATATACATGTTACGATATACATGTTACGATATACATATACGATATACATGTTACGATATACATGTTACGATATACATGTTACGATATACATGTTACGATATACACGTTACGATATACATGTTACGATATACATGTTACGATATATAACGTTACGATATACACGTTACGATATACATACATGATATACATGTTACGATATACATGTTACGATATACACGTTACGATATACACGTTACGATATACATGTTACGATATACATGTTACGATATACGTTACGATATACATGTTACGATATACATGTTACGATATACACGTTACGATATACATGTTACGATATACATGTTACGATATACACGTTACAATATACATGTTACGATATACATGTTACGATATACACGTTACGATATACATGTTACGATATACACGTTACGATATACACGTTACGATATACACGTTACGATATACACGTTACGATATACACGTTACGATATACACGTTACAATATACACGTTACGATATACATGTTACGATATACATGTTACGATATACATGTTACGATATACACGTAAAAACTGCGCTGTGAAAAAAGTGAAAGTCCGACGGAGCAAGACAATGCTTGAAAATCAGGTATTTAAGTTTTGTTCTTTTCAAAATATATAATTTCTGTTCTTATTCATTCAGTATGCTGACATTTATAATGTGTTTTTATAGAGTAGCTATGTCTGTAGGCGTAATAACTAGACATTGAATGAACGATCAAGTTGGACAGAAGCACGAAGAAACAAGCGTCCTTATTGAAAGATTCTCACTTGCGACTTTCGTTATGCATACTATTAATCAGTATAACGCATTTTAAATTCAACCGTTAAAATTTCCGTTAAACTAAATTTTCACAATCGTCAAATTTTCGGACAAAACACACGAGTGAAAGCCAGCTATTAATGAAGATCTTAATGAAGCAACATAGAAATTTTGATCGAATGAAATCTAGTAGACATCAAAAATAATTTGTGTGCAAGTCACGACGTCACTTTGGTCATTTCATTTTTCATTGTTTGTTGGTCGGTGAATGATCATGTCGAACGTACTGAATGAATTTTTTATATGATTTATGTATGAGCTGCTATTAGTTTTTATTTTTCGTCTGTTCATTAAAATTTTTGTTAACACTCTGCACTCTTTCATTTTTTGTTCTCTACTAAAGTTTTCGTTTCTTTCGTTCAAACACAAAATATTTGCGGTGTCAATAATAGGGTAGCCAGCCAACTTTTTTGTCGCCGCTTTTTTGTCGACGTGTTTTTTGTCACTTTGTGAATTTAAGATACGAACGACGTAGCTACGATCTGACTACGCATCATGTTAAAGTAGAT